CTATATTTTAAAATTCCATCAGCACCTTTCAGTTTTCCAATTAAACTCCACTAGGTGTCGATCAATTATAGCCGATTTTATAACTTAATCCAAGTTTTCTAATTGTAAACTGTTGTTATGCAGCTGTTAGAACTGTTACAATTTTTCCTTCCTTTTAGAACTCCTTTCAAGATAATAATAAATATCAACAATGTGTTCATCCCCATTTATTGGTAAAGAAGCTGCTCCTTTTTCAGCTGCTAAATTTAAGAGGTGACAGGTGCACCTCATAATCAGCAAATCTGAATTTTCTTTTCTCAAGATGCCTGCAACACCAGTTTTCAAGGCTACCAGTTCTGGTGCATTATCGGCACTAAGTGCTAAGCAATTATCCAGAGGGACTGCATTTTCTTTTAAAGTTTTAATAATTAGCTGTGCTATATTAAAGCCTGTCAAATGTCCTTCTAAAGTGGAGACAGAAAGTAAATTACATTCAATTTCTGAAGACTCTGGATAAAAAAAGAAACAACAATTGGATATAGTTTTGAATCGGTATTATTGCTTCCATCCATACAGAGGCAGAACGGAGCTGTTTTAATGCAATCAATAACTAAAGATTTATTTTTCAAACCCATTTCTTTAACAATTGCACCTGTTTTGGTTCTTGCACTTGAGTACTTCTTAGCGATTTCACTATCAGGAAACATTTTTCTAAATAAAGCTGCCGCGTGATCCGATGCATTCAGTGGCAGGTTGCGCTCCAGTAAAAAGGCAGAGAACAGACATTCTGCATTAATAACTTTTTGGTCCTTTGTTTCCGAAGAAAAATTTAATTTTTCATTTTTTTCAAAATAACTTATGTTGCCTTTGTGTTTTTGTGTACGCACATGTTTGAGTACATCAGCCCTTCCACTATGCGAAATCGAAAAATTGCAATGACAGGCGGTACACATCACAAATTTATTACATTTCCTTGAAGAAATAATGGAAGGAAAGGCAACTGTGTACGATTTTATAAACGTACACGAGTATTTCATCTTTCTCGCAGACATAACAAAAGATAATAATTTCTAAAACTATTTCCCGAAGGCACGTGTACTCACACAACTCAGGACAAAATGAACGAAATAACTAAAGAGCATCCAAATAACAGCTTGCTTTGTCCTCATTGGCTAATATATGCCAGATGACATGCAGTGGAGCTCGATGCCCATTGGAGACGTTTCTGGATATGTATATGTTCTCACTCACAAAGCAGAAGTTATCTGATTCGCAAGGTTTTGTTTTACAAGGGTGTTTCTGGGACCCCAAAAAATCCCCTGAAACTTTTATGGACTTACTACCGACATTTTGGAGTTTCGAGAAGGGGGGGGGAGAGAAATGAAAAATTACAATTATAAAGTATTGAATGACCTAATTATAAAAGTTCAATGAATTACTTTTTTTGCAAAATTAATAACCATAAATTTTCAAACATATAAACTACTACATTTTATGTAAATATTTTAAATTACCTGAATTAATTCTTTAAAAAAAATTATCTAATTTCTGCTGCTTTTTTTATTTTCTGATGTTTGTGGGCTTGTCTTTCTTTGTGGTGAACTTCATAATTGCAGGAAGGTTGATTTTTATTTTCCTCATTTACAGTTGAAAAAATTTCCTCGAGAACTGCACATGCAGAGGTAGAAGCAGTTTGCTTTTCTGCTAATGTAGAAGGTTTATCAGAGACTTTTATAGGTGACTCATCTGAAATACATGTTTTTAAGTCCTCTTGATATGTTTTCCAACTTCTGTTCATATTCAGTAAGAGATCTTGGTGAATTGGATCAGTCATTGGATTTTTTGAGCCATATTTTTCACATGAGGTTTTTTTAGAAGCCATTAAATCATATTTAATAGTCTGCACTGCTTCTAGGGAATCAATCTTAAGAGAGGTTCTATAGTCAGTGACAAGTGTATCCATTAAGTTGAATGCACTTTCCACTAATGGGCCATGGAAGCAGCTAAGGCAGGCTTTGATCAATTTAGTCGATGTAGAATACTTATAATAATTTGTGAAATCATCTTTTAAATTAAAAACTTTAGACTAATATTTATCAATTGTACACTTGACTTGATTTCCACTTTCATCAGATGTGTAGAGCATTTCTTTGGTGATATCAATATCACTCTGGTATAACCTTATTTCAGCTTCTACTTTTGACTTTTCATTATCACTAAAAATATGGGACATAAAAGATAATTTTTCAAAAGCTAATATTGTACTGGTTTTACCTCTTAGCTCTGGATCTAATGCTGTAAAACTAATTAGATATGAATTTTTAAGGGGTAATTTCTGTTTCATATGCTGTGCTGCATTAGTATAAGCTTTCATCAGAGAAATTTGGAATTCTTTTGCTATTGGATGATTTTTTGATAATTTCTTCAGGAGAGTGGAAGCTTCTGCACCAGTAAATATTACTTTGCTAGGTAGATGGAATTCTGGATTTGTAACATCAACCTTTAATAAATCATTATAAGATGTGCACTCTATATTTTCTGGCTTCATAAAAAAAGAGGAAAATTTTGCCATCAATTTATAAATACTGGAATGTATTAAATGAAGCATTGTGTTTTTTTTTGTTTCAAATAATTTAATATTGTGTTGAACTCTGGTAATACTGCTGAATATAATGCCATATGCAATAAAGTTTTGTTTTGCATAACAAATAACCCATTTAGTATTTTTTTTTCCCGAGCTAAAGCATCCTTTGTGAGTTGTTGGGAATGCAAGCAAGAATACACCCCTTCAACAATTATTTTCTGAGCTGCAGAAATATTTCTTTTATTGTATACAGTTTCAACATAAGAAAAATAATCCCCTTTATCAATTTTATCCAAGTAGTGAAAATAAAATGCAATAAGAGCATCCCAGAGATCTTTGATTCTTTCTAAAACACATAAAATGTACACCCACCTATGGTCTGGTCTCTTCAAGGGCTTAAGTTTTTTTAATGGCAAGGGATTCACAGATTTTGAAAAATTGTCTCTTTTACTGCAGCTTTTCATATCAAAACAGATGTCATCAAACAAATCTTCTAAGTATCTATCAAAACATGAAGCAAATTTTTTTGCACAGTTATTAGCTGTGTGACATGTGTCACCATCAATATCTAATAAGGGTGGGGTGCTTTGTTTGATCGGATAGTCTGGTTTCAACACCCCTTTTTTCCATGCATGGTGTTACAACGAGTCCATTAATACACTAATTAAGTTTGCCCATGGAATATTATTATCTTCAATAGTATTAACAACTGCTTTAAAAACAGCTTCTGAATTGCAAGATTCCATCTTTAGAGATGCAAAATGATGAACTAACAACTTCATTTTGATTGTTGTCATAAAACTGCACCAATATTGCCAGTATACTTTCTTGAGCATTGCTAGTACTTTCATCCAAATTTAGAGAAAATGGAGTCTCCTTTAAAGTTTTAATGATATTTTCCTTAATAGTTTTTGCGAGCCCATATTTCATCTTATAACATGCAGTGGTCCTGGACATTTCCAATGAGTTTAGTGCCGTCTGATCGCGGCTCAACTGTTTGCAGAGTTCAATTAAATTGGGAGCTACATTGAAAGAAGGAGAATTCTCGGCAATAAACGAAGTTATTAATACCTCTTGGCGTGCTTTTCTTGTCACTATATCCAATAGCCGAGCATCAGTCTCCAGTAAGTCATCAGTATTTTTTTAATTAGCATAATTACTTAAAGTCATTGAATGTCTAATGCACTTTGAATATTTTATGAGCGTCACAGTTTTAGAATGATTTGTGAAAGCCATGAATCCTTCCCCCACCATACTTCAGCAGTGAATTACAAAAAACACAATATGCTTCTCCAGCAACATTTATTTTCTTGCACCATGTGCCGATGGTATCCCCATTACCATCTCTCCGTTCAATCCAATTCCACCTAAATGCATTCCGAACACCTTCTTCTAATTGTATAATATCACTATTTATATCGAGAAATTTCATAGTGAAATTCTCTTGCGTACATAAATAAAAAAATATTTCAAAAAACAAAACGAAAAATTTACACGTGCATCAATAAATGAAACGAAAATTTTACACAGCGAAGAAAAAAAGTTGAGAAGCGATCAATAACAAATAGCTAATACGGTGAAAAATCCCCCTTCTCTACTTATTGGCGCCACGGCAGGAGAGATAAGACCTTTGAACCCAGAGTCATGTGATCGCACATCTGGTCGAACAAAGTCTCTCCCTTTTTTTTCTGCCGCGCCTACTTGCCGAAAAGAATCCAGAAGAGAATGTCTGAGAACTGGGGGAATGAGTCATAACTCGCAATAAGGAAAGAACAAAAAAGAAGTTTTTCCCCCTTTTCACGCATTATCACTGCCTTTGGAGAAAGAAAGAAGAAGTTTTCACCACACACACTGACCTTGTGCGTTCTTCTGCTTTCAAAGTGAAACAAAATTACCCCAGATCAAAATAAATAATTCATTATTATTCCTACTTCCTTTTGAACGACGATCCCCGGACGGAATTCCAGGGTTTCCCCGGAGCACAAACACCCCTGGTTTTAGATATAATCTAGTGAAAATTCAATTGCTTTCAGGCATCCAAAATCACTTTTTTTGTTCATATAACAAAGTATTAAGCCAAGTTCCATAAAAATCATGAGAAATTTTAAGAATAAGAAAAAGTCGGGAGAAATATATTGTAAATCAGGTTGGCGGGAGAGCGGTCGAAAATCGGGAGAGTTGGCAACTCTGAGTACCATACAAATGACAGTACAAAAAATTACATTAATTGATATTTAATCATTTTGTTTTTTACACTTTATTTTTACTTTATTTTAACTTGAAAGACAAACAGAAAATATTCCATTCTCATATTATATATAAAAAAAAAAAATTAAACTGGCCTATGAGGGCTAATCTAGGTGACAGCATATAAAATAATGCAAACTGAAGACTAAAATTAAGTCACAGGAGGTATAGTCACAAAGATAACAACACAATAATGATTTTATTTATTTATTAGTTAAGATTGTGAATAATTCTCAAATACAAAATAATTTTGTGTTTGTAATCAGAATAAAAGGTCCTCAAAAATAAAATTGAAAAAAAGGCTTTGTCTTTATATCTACACTTCATCAGCTGATATTACAAGAAAACAATTCTCAAGCCAATGACATTGGAAACTTATATTTACATTAAAAAGATAGTAACATACAGAGTGATACATTTTGTAAATCATTCTAATTTACATATCCAAAAACACAGGAGTTAGACAGTGGAAAGCTCATCACATTAACTTGCTGGAATTTTTGGTAGACCAAATTCATCCACAAGAACACCCTGAAATTCAAAATTTTCATTAATTTTTTTATATCAAATGCCAAAAATAAATAAATAAATAAATAAAAATCTGAAAGCTTTCAGATTTTTTTATTATGCCTAAAGGGGCCTTGTTTTTTATTTAACATTTTGTGTGTTACCTTTATTTATTAATTATCATGTTCTTCACACTTAAACCATAAAATTCAATCCAACAGCAATATCACAAAATATTTAAAAAGGCATATATTTAGAATTTCCGATACATAGTCTCGCACGCTAGATTTTTTTTTTTTTTTTTTGGTACAATGTTGCCATTGTTCACTTTGAAATCGTTGAGTTTCTTAACCCTCTCAGCGTTACGAACGGATTTTTCCATGTTAAAAGATGGCTCTCCAAATTGTCACAATGGATTATTTTGCCAGCTTTTGATTAATCCGAAAGTGTTTCAAATGATTATTTCTGCCTTACATTTTCCGTCTCGAAATCGTTGAGGACGGAATATTCTGTACTGTCGTTCCCTCCGACCTCCTGTCGTGCTTAATTGGTAGTGGGGAAACAGCGGTCGTTAAAGAAAGATGTTACAATGGGAGGGTCATAAATAAAAACATCAAATTCAGCCGTACCATTTGCCGACCTAAGGGCGATTTTCTTGTCGAAACTGGAAAATACTGGAAAGCCTTCAACACAAACCTTTATGTACATGAAAAATTTGCGAAGCAAAATTTCTTCTGCAGTAGTAAATAGAATTAGCACAGAACCCATGAATAACTTTTAAAGAATTCAGCATCACCTAATTTACAAATGATTTCTTTTAGCATAGAATAAATACTTAAACAAGTATCTAACAAAGACTGCACAAACAGAGAAATTTGATATAATTTTTGTTTTAGCTCTGTGCATTGATTAAAAATACTGTATTTTTTAAAAAACAGTTCACAAAAAGAGATTTTTGAAAGAGTTCAAACCTTGTAATTCCATTTCAAACTAATGTGTCATTTATATGTTTGTATCGAAATTCATTTAGTTGTGTGAATGTGAAGTATGGACATTTTATTATTGAAATATGAGGACAAGGTGCATTTCCTTAAAGAAAATTCATTTTACTCTTCTGATTTCTCGTTTAAAACGAACTACTGAAAAACTTCCTTGGCATGATATGAAAATCATTCGCAAATAATATCGTATTTGATTAAATCGCTTTTTGATGTTGATAAAATAAAGTACTGAAAGTACATGAAATCGTATGATGCATTTTTTACCCTAAGCAAATTACTTCCGTTTTACTGAAAGTTTTATTGAATAAAAGGGTCCGGACAATATTTGATTATGAATATTTTACTGTTATGAAGATGTGTTTATTTCCAAATTTCAAAATGGTTGGGAGATAAAATTCTCAGCAGGTAAGAGTAAATAATTATGAAAATTGTTGTTAGTAGAAAAGAAATGTAAATAGCTTTTTATAAAATCCTCGCAAGCATTATATGAAGGTAGAAAAAATATGATGGTGATCTGGGTGATGCAAAAAATTTCGAAAAATGAATAAGAATTTCCGATTATTTGCCTATATCAAGATTTGAAATGACACAATCAGATGCTCAGGTAAAGATAGACAACTTTAACTTTCATGGAGGACTTTGGGGATGGGAAAACAATTTGTTAATTACAACTACAGTTAAATAAAACAAAGGAGGGCTGTCTTCTTGGAAGATGTTTTAAAGAAAACTGGCTCGTATTCACATTACAAGTGGGAAAACTCAATTCCAAATCAAACTACTAGTGTTCAGTGACATTACTGCTCGGCCGCTAGTGGACATTATTTATAACTATTATTTATGACCTATACACAAAATTTGAATTCCGAGACTACTCGTTTTCGAGTTATACAAGACACTTACATAGAAACGTATGTGCAGACATGACATAAAAAAACCTCTTCTTTACCCACTTTAAATCAATTTTATAATCCATTTGGAGGAAAAAAGTCCATTATTCTGTCCTTACATATAGATGTCACACAAAAACATTGTTAAATTGCATTGGATAGTGGTCAAAATGGATATTTTCTTTGAAATATAATACCCCGAATTTTTCGAGATTACAATACTTCCTTTACTTTACTGTCATGCTAGAATAGCATGACCATACCATTCTTTCTGTAACAGCAGCAATTTCTCCCATTTCCTACAAAGTATTATCAGAACTAAAATTGGCACTTACACAGCAGCATGTTAAAACAATTTCTAGTAAAGCAATAAATGTGAAAATACTAAAACATTCCATTTATTCTAGTTTCAGGAATTGATTTTTACTTTAATTTTCACACTTTAATTGCATGATGAAAAGACTGGAATTTCCAGTAACTCTATCATCCATATTGTGATGAATCATTTTTTAAAAAAATAAAGAGTTCTAAGACTTTTGAATTGGATAGAAGTGCATTAAAAGCAACGCAATTAGGCAATTAGGCTTTTATACCACATTCACTGCATTGCAACTATGTAATTAAGCTTTTACAACGCATTCCATTTCATATCACATGGCAGTTTAATGTACAGGTGTTGGGTTCAGACTTCATCGATAAGCGCACAACACAGATTAGATGACGAATCTTTTTTGTTCAGTTAGAAAATTCATTGCTCTGTTATTTTTAGAATGAAGACGGGAGTTAAAGGGCTATTCATTTATTATTTGAAAGCTAGATTTTATATTTTAAGTATATATATTTCAGAAAGCACTAAAGATATATACTCATATTTTCCACTCCAAACATACACTTGTTGATTGGCATTCATCAAGGAAGAATTTGAGCAGATCGATTTTGGCTAGTATTTCCCCATCTGAGTAGAGATGCTATCCAGAATAAATCACAGAAAGTGTAAAAATATTTTACCCACTAGATGTCTAACTAACTAAGATGAATACCCAGTCCTGCAACTATGGGGGGGGGGTATTACCTTGTTACCTCTTTATTGGGAAGGAGGTATGGTTTGACCAAAAGAGTCACACTTTGCGACTTTCAACACAATGACCCGATGCTCTTTACCATCCTACAACCCTAATTCGGAGGCGGACTTCTCAATAAATGATGCAGGATTTGGATCCGTTAAAACTCGTGTCACTGATGTCACACTACCCACTCGGATAGATGTGAAGCAGGAACCTGGCTCGTGTTTTTATACCCCCAGCACTGAGACTGCCTAAATAGAGATCCTAGCCAGGCAGTCAGCACATTAGTCGATCCCCTAAAGGGAACTAGGTGTCCAAGACAAATGTGCTAACACATGTAACTTACACAAACGAACTTTAGCCTATCAGTACACAAAAAAAAGCCTTTATTAATCACCACAGTAATTAAGCAGCTTAAAGGAACTAAAGTACAAAGTCGAAGATTCGGACTCATCGGGACTTTGGCGATTCCGGATTTGGAATTTTTCCGGATATTAGATCATTACTTTAGTAAAATGGCAAGTAGAAAATATAAAAATCGTGATTTATGAAATAATGAAGCATTTATGATCTAAAGACTATCAAAATTTACAAAAACAAAAGCTTAATATTTATTTGTTTGTTACACATTTTTTAATGTAAATTATTTAAACTGCTTCATTTTTTATGCTAATACTTTCTCTTCAATTCTATAGACAGGCATAATCTCTTGTTCAGTTACAAAGTTCCACTGTTCAAGTCCTGTAGTCTGTTTCAAGAATTCCGACTAACTTGTCAACCGAAATTCATTTCCAATAACAGGGTTCATAGCCACATTTTAGTTAAAAAAATAAGCACCTATAAGCACTTTTCAAGCACATTTTAAGGAAAAAATAAGCACCTGTCTAATTACATTATACACAACTGCATAACATTAAAAGAAAAATTAGACTTGTAATTTAAAATATGAGCAATGCAATATTTATTAAGGGAATGAGCATTACCTCAACAATGGAAAACAATCAACTTTTTTTTTTTTTTTTTTTAAATTTTAAATGACAGTTCAATTTACAGAATTAGTTTACAATGAGAGAAAAAAAAACTATGCAGAACTAAACTATATACAAAATTTAATGATGATATTTCAGTTGAAAATATAGAAAATAAATAATAATAAGCCATATTAATTGTATTTGTTTGGCACCTAATAATAAATACAATTTATTTTTCCACTCATATTAATATTTAAATATTTTAACTTAAAAATCAAAATTCTGAACATTTTCTAAATTTTCATTGCATAACAGTTTTCCCTTAACATATATCCCAAGCAAAGTAATTTAAGTAAAAAAGGGGCGAACATTTTCTAAAATCAGAAAGACGGGAAATTGCTTCATTCAGTCATTCCTCCTTTAACAGTAAAAGCTTAACTAACCAGCATACTCCGGAAATTCCCGAATATTCCGGATAGTCAAGCGTAACTGGAAAAACGGGAGCGGGAGTGGGGGAGATTGTAGCCATTCTTTAGATTTAAATTTAGGCTAAATGTAGCCGCTCTTTAGATTTCTCCGCTAAATAAATGCTTTTGACATTTCGATATGTGCATCATATAAAAACCAGCGGAACTGAGAAATATTCTGCTTAGAAAGCACAGTAAAACTCTTTTAAGTGTTCATAAACAAATCTCAGACTGAACATCAAAATTAATTATCAATGCAAAATACCACAAATGTTATTGTGCAATACGTGCGGCGTAATTCTTCCATATGTGATATTACGCAATCGGAATCAGCACCTGCCGGTATTCGGAGAAAGAAGAACTAAATAAAGGAAAAGAAAGAGACTTACTAATCTGGGGTGTTTCTGATTCTAATTTTCAACAGACCGTATTAAATTTCCGGAATAGAATCAATCTTCGCTTGGGTTGGGTATTTTCCACACAACACATTTTATGTTAAAATCATTTAAAAAATTCTTGAATAGTCTTGCCATTATTTAAGAAATTTAACACGGATTTTAAAAATGCGACTTTATATTTGCACTTCAGTGCTTGCACCATTCCGATAGCCATAGGCTGAATGATGGATATACAGTTTGGAGGAAAGAACACTGGATACATTATCTTTCATTAAAACTTGTGAAATATGAGTCCAACAGTTATCTACAATCAGAACAATTTTTGCATCATCAGGTAAACAAATCAAATTCAGATTTTGCTGAGCCTCGGGTATGAAATCATGTTCAAACTTATCATACGTGTCATCCGTGCTCTTTTATTTGCACTGAATTTTCCATTGAAATTTTTACTTGCATTATACCATGGCGATTTTAAAATTTGGTTAACCACTCTAATATGTGCACTCAGTTTTTAAGTTCATTTCTTCATGAAATATTTTGGCTTGAATCATTAGCATTGGATGATCAGTCAATGGCATTATCTCGCTGCATACCTGTCTGACCATTCAATCATCACTTTGTCATGATCATCGCTTTAGTATAGCCAATAATTTTTCTGTTGTTCATTGTGAGTGGGGTGTCGGAATCCTCAAAAAGTTCCCTTTTTCTTATGTCATGTACAGTTGACTTTCCATTATCATACTCCTTGCATTATTTTGAGATAGATGTATACCTTTATCCCTTTTTTGCAGCAATTCCACTTCTTGTTTAATGGATATTGAAGAACACTTTCGCTTTGTAGATCCTGTTTCAAAATTAGAAACTCTTTTTGACATAATCGAAAGTTCAAACTTTAGCCAACAAAAAATTATAAGCTGTATCAGATAAGAAAGTTAACAAACGTCGCAATCTGATTATATTAAATGAAATTCTTTGGAATCAGTAAAATATAATTTGAGCCTAGCTTAACAGCATCTGCAACACATGATTGGCTAGGTCGGATGGCAACGAAATGTTCTGTTAAATTTTGTCTTGCTTCTATCGTGTACAGAGATAATTAAGCCTGAAGTGTATGAATTTAATTATTTATTATACTTACATCTAATTCCTGCACGTGCTTAAGGGTTATCTGAGCCCTGAATAAATAAATTCCCACATATACTTTAGCTTACTGAGGGCCTGTGCTAGATAATTTGCCACCTGATGCAGTCTCTGCAGGTCCAAAATTCTGCTACCAAACACTGCCCCAAGTTCTAAATTTTTGCCACCCCTTAATTTTGGGTCCCAATGCTTTCCCTAAATACTAAAAATTTTATCATCCCTTAATTTTGTTACTCGGTGCTTCTCTAAATTCCAAAAATTTAGCCTTTCCTAAATTCTGCCACCCGGTGTGGCCATACAAGCTCTGGGTTTATGTGAATAAAAAATCAGTTATTTTTAATTCGAATAGCCCTAATTGTAATCTTTTGGATTATGAGTATCATTAACAAAATTTATTTTTAGCATAAGGAAAGAATTTTTTTTTTTATTTTTCCTACAACATTTGTCAACATTTAGTGCATTTAACTTAAATCTGTAATCATGGTCAAAGGTAATGTCAACATAAATGGTTTCCATACTCTTGTTATTTAATTACATTACTAATATAAAAAAAAAATGTTTAGGCATCACTGCATGAGTCATTACTCAAGTTGTTATGAGTTGCAAAACATACTATGATGAAAGCAAAATATAATAAATAATGATTCACCAGGTTGGCGTCAGGGATATAAAATATTAGTAGTTGTAAACATTTCTGGGTAGAATATTTTGGTTTGAGATGTGTGCCAAGCAGATATGAAGCTATGGAGCCAAATTATTGATCAAACAAATTTATGCTAAATTAATTGCTGGGCTTCAATAGCGAGGGTATTTTGTTTAGTGACAAAGTGAAATTAAGAATCGGGATTCTCCAAATCTTTTCTCACAGGAAAAAAAATCAAATGTGCATGCCTAAAGCATTAAAAAAAATTTTTTTGGGGGGGGGGTGGATTTAAGGTCCGGTTTTTAGATCATTTCAGATATTGGACATCCGGATCTCAGACTTTGTACTGCATTACATAAATTATTTAAACCTTTAAGTAAAATTAACTGTTTGTCTATAACACATTAATTCAGGACAATTTTTATGAAGTCAATTTGTATTTTAAAAAGTCAAGGCACACATAGTTAAAATGAAATAAAATACACTAGATGACATGTTAAAATGCTATTTTAAAAATTTATGATATTCTATTTAAAACATCAGTAAAATAAGAACTTTGGTAATTGGCCCATCTGCAAAAGCTCCAATCTTACTAATGTTTAAATGTGGTTTTAGCATGTTAATCTAAAACCTTTTACTTTGTATTAACTCTCACATATCTAGGATTTTTTCATAACAGATAGGAATCAATTAACCTCTGCTGGAATGCTGTCAGCTCCTGGTTCCTTAGATGGCACTGTAGGAGATTTCACTGCATCGTCTAAATACGAAGTATCTTCATCCAGGGCAATTTCATCACCTAAAGCATCCAATTCTAAAACGGAGATATTTATGTTAAAAAAGAAAATTATTTTAATAATATTTTATATTGTTAGATCTAAACTAATTCTGTTTTAAAGTAAAATTAAATATACCATTTTGATTTAAATATCAATACAGTAGCTGCCTCTTATTAAAATCACTTCCATTCCAAGGACTTTTGAGTTTATTATGGAGGTGAGTTTAATAGATGAGGATATGGATATTGCAAAATACAATATCTAAATTAAAGTTTTCTAAACTTATCTAAAAAATAATAACTAACAATTAATCCACTAATTAATACTTTAAATAACAACTAAAATTAATGCTTTAACTATTTATGTAATTCTGAAATTTATTTTAAAATTTGTATAAGGATATACTTATAATTACTCGTCCGATTAAACTTTTACTTTATTCTGTATTGTTTATCAATAGTGTTTTACTTGTAGTCTCAGAGCCTTGCAAAACTGACGCTAAATTTTCTAATCAGTACCTTTTAGATCAAAATTTTTCAGTTCTTTCAGTTCTTTAAACACTTTTTTATTATATCGTAGCTAAATTTTTTTATGCCATCTCAATATTATTATCAGTTCACACACATCTAAAAATGAATCTTCATAATTTCCTTTACTGATATCTGTAACATTAGCTATATCTTACACTAAGACTTCTTTCAAATAAAAGCCAAATTTTCCAAAATAGTTTTTGAATATGTTGTTAAGATACCCCCTTGAAATGATTATAATATACATGGCCTCTAGCAAAGAAACTTAGTTATCTCTTTTGAAGTGTTTGCATTTCACAAGATCAGTTTTGTTTATCATTTATAACATCTTTTCTGTAATGACATTTAAAAGCTTTTATAAAAGTATTTGCAAGAAAAAAATAATAATTTAATGTTTTTCAGAAAGCAGTAAGAGGTGTGTGCCGACAGTTACCTAATTAACTAAACTTTCCTTCTACTATTTTTCAGTTCACTTTCCTATTTAAAAAAAATCAATAAAAACAGACATCCACCGAAATATAATATAAAAATTGTCAATCCATAAATAGGCAATATAAACAGTCATTGTCACGCTCGAGTTCTTTTTGCTACAGGTAAATTCTTAACTTCTTTAAAACTTCGAGGTTTTGTGCTTTTGTCAACAACCAATGCTGTCTTAACTGCCGAGTCCATATTGCACATTAGTAATACAGTAGCTTATCTGTTAAGCACAGAACAAATCAAAAGAATTCTTCGAGCGATTTATACAACATCAAAAATCAAGTTTTTAGCCAACAGAGACTACTTTTCCTAATAAGTTGACTTGCCTCTTCATGACATTTCAAAGGCACTGCCATTGCTTTTTTAATTTACTTTGCTTTTTTTTTCAATGACCACTCTCTTTCCACTCAAGGACTAATAATTTACAGCATTGCTAAGAAACATTTCATGAACTATTTTGAGAATTTATTGTGAACATAAATTCAAAACAGTCCTAACAAAACTGTTTTGAATGTAAAAACCTTAAATAATTGGCTGCAGAAATTGCACTCCCTCTTCCTATTAACTGGCATTTGAACTCATTTATTACCTCTAGAGAATTTTTTAGAAATTTTGCCTCTTTGAGCTTCAGTCGAGATAAAGAACTCTGCAAACAGCGTTTAACAAGTACAAGTACTGGAAAATAAAAAAATCTTGGTCAAATTCATTTTGTTAAAGCATTACATAACTGAATAAAAATAAACCACAGTGAAGATAATAAGTTAAATGGATGAAACAAAACAGCTTTGATAGGTACAAGTATTAGGTTCTGCCATCGCAGAATCAGTTTTTTGCCTGTCTGAGATTCATAAGCAGTGGGGAGCTGAGTTTAATAAACAGTGGCTTTTTTATTGATTAGTATATATTTTGATTCCCTGGAAATTTGAACATAGTAAGTGATTTTATTAACCAATGAGTTTGATAAATGGGCTGTCTTATATTCACAAGACAACTAAAAATATACTAAGATAATTTATCACTTATTTTATGGATTAAAATTTTTTAAGCATATTCCTTAAATATTTATTTGAAGGTAAACTGTTTAAATCCGTAACCCTCCAAGCAGCAAAGTCATACACATACGTTGCAAAATATTTGTTGAAACACCATATAAGGTATTTCTCCCACCTTTTTAACCTGCCATTGTGGTGTGGTGGTCTGCACGCTGGGCGTGTATTCCAGAGGTCCGTGGTTCATTCCCGGCGAGGGCGTTGCTCATTTTTCATCTTTCCTGCTTTCCAAAAATACCTAATGTCTCTACAGTGGCGCCCGAATTAAAAGGCTAGTGAATGATAATTCTCCACACCCAGGATTTGGCGACTGGGTCTCCTAAAAATCCCAGTTGCCCTTTAAAAGGGGAGAGTATATAAGGTATTTCTCCCACCTTCTTAACGTGCCTTCATGGTGTAGTGGTCTGCATGCTGGGCGCATATTCCAGAGGTCCGTGGTTCGATTCCTGGCGAAGGCAATGCTCATTTTTCTAAACTCCTGCTTCCAAAAATACCTAATGTCACTACAACCAAACCATTCTTATTTAACATTTTGCAAAGTGCAACTGTTTCCTCTCACTGCTTTCTATTGGCTATAAATAAACATAAAAACTGTTACTAAATGACTAAGAGGCCCAAGATCTTTAATTTCACTTCAGTATTATAGAAATATGCTGCTCATGTGTGTAACACAGTGAATCATTTTCAATCATTTTATTTCAAACTGCTACAATATTTTCCACTGAGCGTCATTTTATAGCATTAGTACATAAATAAAATAAGTTTCCGAACCCCTATGTACAATAATTACAAAATTTCTAACATTAAAATTACTTTTTATAATATTTTTATCCTTTTTTAATTTACATCATTTTTAATTTTAAAAAAATGCAAGACCTTTCTTCCAGATGTGTTTATTTTTTATTTAACAGTTAAATTTAATTTTATCAGTTGGCAAAAGTAGTTACAATTTTTATTTATATACTGCTAAAATTTCCATTAATGTGCTGGATAACAATGCGAAGTTCTCAGAATGAAAGCCTTCTGGCCTCCCCCCCCCTCCATTGTTTTCTCGTAATTACAGAAATTAGTACAATTTAATATTCTGAAAATACATTCAGATACACACTTTTACTCAAATAGTTATGCATCATTCTATTTGCACTATTTTTATACCTTATATTCAATATTATTAATAAGAATAAAAATATATTACCAGCTTCAAGTTCATCATCGTCCACTTCTGGCATTCCATAGCTCCTGCCAAGGGCTTCCTGCACTTCATTCGCTTGATCAAGCATATCTTCTAACTCATCTTGGACATTCTAAATTAAGAAGAAAATTTTTTAAAGAGCTAAAAGTCCCCCCAAACAAGGCAGAACTACTAGAATTGCTGTACTACTGTACCTTGAATTAATATAATTTTTACAATTGTCATTTATTAATAACCACTGACATCTAAAAAACTTTAAACATTCTTTCTAACTGTTACAACTCTTAATATGCTGAAAAGAGTTGATTATTCAAAAGTTATTTCTTTGAAATTTAACTTCTGAACTTTCTACATAAAAAAATATTAAGAATTAAATTGTTTATTAAATATATGAAATAAATTTAAAATTGCTTTGCAGTCATATAATGAATCATCATCAGTCATGACCATTACATTTTTTCAAACATTTTACATCAACATTTTGTTACACATAACAACATAGCAATGTCTTTCTCTTCCATCACATTTTGGAATAGCACAACATAATTTTCTTACCTCGATATCATCAATATTTACTTTCTTGTATTCTCTTTTCATTTCTTTCACTCCCATTTTCATTGCATCAATCTGTATGAAAATTTCAAAAAAACTATCAGTTCTGAATCTTTGTTAATTATACATGCTGTATGAGAGACGTCTAAAGTAAGATTTTCACCAAATACTAAAATTTCAGTGCCTTATACATTTTAACAGACCATAAATCTAATAGTATAATTGACAATGTTTATTATTTATCTAAATTAAAGAATGCTGCTGAAAAATAACAAAATAACAGCAAGAATATTCACACACACACACCTATGTTCATTATTTGCTCATTAAAAGATATAAAACTGCTAGGACATAAAATTTAATTCTGATAGCATAATACTTGGCACTCATTCTTTTCCCCACCCTGGCCTATTTCCTCAACATCAGGTGCCATGAGTTTGGCTTCCTTTGCAAATGCACTATTCATCTAATCAACACCCCCCAATGGATTTCATGACTTGGGATTTGCCAACAGATGAACAAGCTGCTACACTGTTTCTTCTAAAAAAATATACACATATATATATTCTTTACCAAAAAAATATATAATAATAAGTAAAAGTATTAAAATAACTATCTCATAAAATTTAAATGCAAGGTAAAGTCAAAATGGCTGTGCAGACTTCATTCATGGCAGGAAGAAAAAAGTAACTGGATAGAAAAGCTATTTGTCATACCACACATTCCTTTCATCACTATCATGCAGTTTTCTTATGGTACTAGGACTTAACCTTCATTGAGTTTTGTGAAAGAAAGCTTCCTTCAAATGAGTCGCAACAGTTAATTGTAATTATTTCAACAGAGATATGTATCAATTCATTATTTCTTCTGAAAAGTTAAAATCAAAAGATTCATGGAGATAACAAAACTGTGGAAACTGTTAAAAGCTTATTCAGATGCACACAAAACTCAATTATAATAAATAAAATAGCTTTGGCCATTCCTTGATAGGTAGGTTTTTTTGAAAGATTCTGTGGAGAAATCAGAAAAGTTTTCTTGCTGCTGTTTCCAATCAGAAAAGTTTTCTTGCTGCTGTTTCCAATCGTTCCACTGCATCTAATATTAAGCCAAAGATATGAGGAAAGCAATAAACCAAAATGCAGCTAAATGGTACCGAAAATGTACGGTATAGCTTTAATGGAAAAGTACAAAATTAAACCATGGAAGCAATTTCATTTTGTAAGTATTCAAGACTTTATGGAAAGACTGCTTTCGTCTGGCTTTTAAATGTACCGGAAAAATGGCTGAAGAAAACACCAAACGTTAAATATAGAAACTGCTTAGAAATTTACTCTGCAGAACAACTTCATAAAAAAAAGTTATTACGTACACCAAATTACAATGAAATAAGCAATATCCCTTAATACAAATATTAATTATCCTAATAAATAAATTAACCAACTTCCTTTGCAAAATCTTAAGAACTCAAATGGTATAAAGGAGGTTAAGAACTTTGTTTCCTAAAAAAATCACTCAAAACGTTTCAATATCTTAAAAACAGTGAAATCAACAATAAGTAACATAAAAGAATGCAAAAAAAAAAAAAAAAAAAAAAAAATTCTGAAAAGAGTGTAACTAATGATATTTTATCTTATATTTTCAAGAGACAAAAATTACAATGAAGTAAGCTACATCCCTTAATAAAAATATTAATTATCCTAACAAAAAAATGAACCAACTTTCTGTTGAAGAAAAAAAAATCATGCAAAACTTTTCAGTATGTTACAAACAGTGAAATAGGCCAAAAAATAACATGAAACTCAAAAAAACATAAAATTGAAAGCAACTCAAAAAAACATAAAATTCCACGCGCAAAATTTTACTCTGCTGCAGAACAACTTTATCAAAAAAAAAGTCATTTATATTATAAATGCATGATAAATGACAATGAAATATGCCAATCTCTTAAAAACAGCGACATAAGAAATACGATGAAAAATTGTTGCCAAACCCATATTTCTAAAAGAATGAAACTATTTAAAATGATGCGATTTCATCAAAAATCTATCATCAACAATAAGACAGGAAAATTGTTGCCAAAATCACATTTTTAAAGATGTGAGAAGTGTACATGGAAGCTTCATTTAATTTTTTTTTTTTTTAAATACAAAATATTATTATTTTTCTAAAATTCTTTTTGTAAAAGCAGTCACAAGGATGAAATTTTAACGTGCCCCAAAATCAAAGAAAAATAAATTGTACATTTTTAAAAATAAACTTTTTTAGAAAAAATCCCGTTGAAAAGGTGTTAAGCTCCCTTTGTTAAATAAATCCATATTGAATCGATTTATTGAAACACAAAATTTATTTTAAGTTTGTAAAATGGCTAAGTGCCTACGTTTCATGACGATGTACGTAGCGTATTCGGAAACTAAGTACCGTTTCATTCTAGCGCTGTGGTAGGCGTTCCGCGCATGTGCACTAGTCTTTCTTGTTCATTGACTTTCAATTGTCGCCATTTTGGTTGCTCTATGTTGTGTTTTCAGTTTGCTGTGCACATTCAAAATGTTTAAGACAATTAGTTCTCCCACTGACTGTGAGATTCGTGCCGTGATTAAATTTTTGAACGCGAGGAATGTTAAACCGGCCAAAATTTATCGTCAAGTGACAGAAGTTTACGGAGAATACGCGATAAGTGATGGATGGTGAGAAAGTGGGTAAGAATGTTCAATGCAGGTCGAACAAATGTCCACGCCAAGGCTCGGAGTGGTCGGCCTTCTGTTGTCACCGATGATTTGGTAAGGAAAGTTGATGAAGCAATTCATGAGAACAGACGCTTCACAATGACAACGCTTTCAGAGAAATTTCCACAAATTTCACGTACTGTTTTGTTCGAAATTGTGTCTGACCGCTTGAATTATCGCAAACTGTGTTCCCGATGGGTTCCAAAAATGCTCACTGATGTTCACAAAACAAAGTGACTTGGTAATGCCCTGACATTTCTCACGCTGTACAGTGATGAGGGAGAAAACTTTTTAAATCAAATTGTGACAGGTGATGAAACTTGGGTGTGTCATTTCACACAAGAATCGAAACAACAATCGATGGAGTGGAGACACACTCATTCTCCGAAAAAACAAAAGTTCAAAGTGACAATGTCATCACAAAAAATCATGTGCACTGTCTTCTGGGATAGGAAAGGCGTTTTGCTTACTGAATTTCTTCTAACAGGTGAAACCATTAATGCAGCACGATATTTTGAGACTTTAACAAAACTAAGGCATGCCATTCAAAACAAACGAAGAGGAAAGCTCAGTAAAGGAATTGTGTTGCTCCATGACAATGCTCGGGCCCCATACTGCTGGTGTCACTCAATCGTTAATTCGACAGTTTCATTGGGAGCAGTTCGATCACCCGCCGCACAGCTCGGACTTGGCACCATCCGACTATCACTTGTTCCTGCACATGAAGCACGAGCTTTGGATCTAACGATGACACGAAAAATGCTGTGGAGTCGTGGTTATCGAAACTAGCGGGAAGTTTCTTTGACGATGGTATACAAAAACTGGTCACTCGCTATAACAGATCATTGGCAGAAACTATGTTGCAAAATAGTATAAGACATGTATTTTCATGTAAAAATAAAATTGGATTCGAAAAAGTTGTTTTACTATTTTTTTTTTTTTTTTTCTTTTCTTTTTTTTTTTTTTTTTTCTTTTTTTTTTTTTTTTTTTTTTTTCAAAATGGTACTTAGTTTCCGAATACGCCTCATAAAAATGAAACGTGCAGAATAAAATCTCGCTTTCCTATAGCCCATTATGTCTCAAAATGACGCGATTTCATCACAAAACATAAAATTAAAAAAATTCTAATTCGAATTTTGAAAAAATTGCTTCGAGGTGCACTGGCTCTTGTCTAGATGCACCTATGTACCAAATTTCGTAGCCGTGGGTCTATTAGCTTATGCGCAGAGCGAACGAAACACACACACACACAGACAGACTCCTATTTTATTATACGTAGAGATTAAGAATGTCCTTTCATATCTATTACATATAATTGCACATTCATGTCAAATATTTTTGATTAATTCCTATATTATGCTACATAATCAATAAATGTTGCAAGTCAAAAATTCAATGATAAAGTATGCATTTTGCTTGATTTTCTTTTGCAGTTTTCTCTTTTGCAAATTTCTTTCATCTGTTAAATATCTACCATTTGCAAAAAAATTAATTGTACATAATTTACTTTACAGTTCAGTTTTCGGATGTTAAATCAACTTGGCAGAAATTGGATACATTTGTATCTAAGTACCTGCTAACAGTTTTTTAAGAAGTGAAAATTTACAATCTGTCCTTAATCCTTAATTGGTGTACATTAGATAAGCTTCCTTGAAGACTTTGCAGAAAAAATGAAATAAAAAAAATTATTTGACTCTTCATTTACCTCCCCCCCCCCAAAAAAAAGTAATTTGCAGAACAATGATGAGAAAGCTGTGATTATTTGCTGTAAGCTGGTGTGCTAGAGCATGTAAGTTGTGAAATATGTTAAAATGACATAAACTTTATTGAAAGAAAAGATGATTAATTCCTTTTTACAAGCCATTACAGAAATACGCCCACTCTCATATGAGAAGTATGTGAATTCATCATATATTTCCAAAAATAAACTGCAATCTTAAAACTAATTATTTCTGTCATTATTCATTTTTTAAATGATTAAAGCAAGTGAAAAATTCCATACACTTTAACTCATTTGTTACTCCTAAATAATTTAAAATGAAATTATACAAATTTTATATGGAATTCTATGTAATCACTGTATAGGCATTTTATTTTATTCTGTGATTCTTTGTAATGTTGCATATAATACTAGACTTAAATGCAGGGAATATTAATTATATGAAAATGTCATGCTCCTATAATATGTATAATTATTTTATTATTACTAAAGACAATTTTTACAGTAATTTAACATTATCTCATAAAAATCATTTTATACAGTCAAAAGTCATTAATTCGGACACCCATAATCTGGACCTCAAAGCTACAACTTTTTGCACATGCGTCTCTTAAACGCATGCGCATAGGCGTTTACGCATACGACCTTTACGGCTGCGAATATGCGTGTGCGCTTGCGCATAATACGTTTACACATGCACGTTTAATGTATAACGAACGGTATAAGCTAAGCTAAAATTATCTAATTCAGTTAATGTTGCAGATTGCATTGATCCTTAATCTTCGAATTGGATACAGCTTATTATTTTTTGCAGACTGTTAGAGCAATTTTATAAAAGTAAGCTTGAACTTTTGATTATGTCAAATAGAATTTCCGATATATATTTACTAATATGTAAAGGATCTACAAAGCGAAAGCATATTTCGAAGTCCATTAAACAGAAAGTGGAAGTGCTGCAAAAAATAGATAAAGGCATATCCTTTGATTATCTAATCATTCCGAAATATGTTTATCAATTTCACGCTGCTCTGCAGGGAGAGGGAAACGATGCGGCGCGCAATGAATTGGAAGTTGATCTGTCAGCACTATCCTTATCTTCAGGGCAGATGTTTTTATTTTATTTGGCTTATAATTCCTTACTAAATGTAGTATTTCATCTCAATGTACTCTGTCTTTGATATGATTTAAATCAAGTTCCTCGTCATTATAATTCACTTCCGATAGTGAAGAAAGTAACACAAAGGTTATTGAAAACGAAAAAATTTCGATTGACAAATTAGTCGGTATTCTTGACACAGCAATTATAGGACTTGAACAGCGGATTGTAACTAAACAAGAAATTATGTCTGTTTAATAGAATTAAAGAGAAAGTATTATCACATGAAACGAAGTAACTTAAACAACTTACATTGAAAGAAATGTTTAATAAAGTAAACAAATAAATATTAAGCTATTTCTTTTTGTAAATTTTGATACCCTTTAGATCATAATTGTTCTTTATTTCATAAATTACGGTTTCATGTTTTTAATTTTATAATTTCTGCATGCCATCTTACCAGATTTAAACTGATGATCTATAATCCGGAAAAATCGATAATCCGGAATCGCCGAAGTCCCGACGAGTCCGGATTTATTACTTTTGACAGTAGTTATCTTTCTGTTTCCATGAAATTTTTCAAAATTTATAGCATTATTTTCTTTAAAGTGCATTTTATATCAAAAAGCAGTAAAGAAGAAAAATTGGCAACAACTTAGCGTAGTTGTAAAAAAAAATTGAGGCAATGGTATACCATAATCTAAGAATTAACCTGTATTTCCTTTAAATCTTTCCATCTTCAGCACAAAAATTTTTAATCAGCATCATTAACAATCAGAAGGTTAAGTAAAAATTAATAGTTTAATGTTCATATTTGATTAAATTATCACATTTCTAAGCGATTTTTAACTTTTATTTAAAACTAGACAACTATATATACTAGTTTTAATAAAATAGTATTAATATAATAGTTTTAATAAAATAGTATTTTATTAAAACTAGTATATTATGCAAACAATATATTTCACACGCTGTTCTTTAATTAAAAAGAAACTTTCAATCTCAAAACTACATACAATTACTTCATTTAATTCATGAATAAACAAATTTAGAAACATGAGAATTAATTATACATGCACAAGTTTTCATAATCTGGATATAATCAGAAATATAACAGGAAAAAGATGGCAAATTGCAATTTATGAACTTGTGACTAACATATTGGCAAGAGTTCAAAAGTAACCAAATTTACAATACTACCAAAACATAAATTGTAGTTTATTTAGGCATGGAAATTTGGATTCACTAATTTTAATTTAATATGTATTTCAAGCACGCATATCTGTAAATAAAACTTGTTAATTTACATTTTTGACCATAAAAATTTCAGATTTGCTTTTCTCTAATGAAGGGTGTAAAATAACAAATGACAGTTCATGCACTCATGACTATAATATTGGCAGGAGATTGATAGTCACCAACTTGGGTACCCTATCAAAACATAACAGGAATTTACAAGACATTTTAAATAGTCACCTTAACAAGTACAACCATTATTAGATTAACTTTTTTAAGATTTATTTTAACCCTTTTCTTTGGAAAAAGTTGTCCAATTTTTTAAGAAAAAGGAATTCTGACACTGGACACATATCATGAAAAAACTGAACTTTTTTCCCTGAACAAGCTCGAGGTGATGTAATTTTGCATAATGCCACAGCACAAGTATGTGTTTTGAATCATCTTGATTGTCGTTCCTTATAGTTTCAAGGTTTGCCTACTTTTGAAGTGATTTTAAACTTCAATAAAAATGTGCACAAGGGAAAAAAAAAAAAAAATTGAAATGTCAAAAGTAACAGCAATAAACTAGAATAATTATTTGCATGAAATATCTGCCATATTCTTACAGCAGGGTTGCCACTCAAATAGGAAAATGAAATTCCCTGACTTTTCCAGGTTTTCCAGGTGTGTTTTAAGAAAATTTCAGTCTATCTGCGTAATGCACATTGGCTGTGCTAAGAGGTAAATTAATTATGGTACCACTTGAAAAAACAAAAATTTGCCAATTACATATGACTTATATATATATATATACAGTCAAAAGTCATTAATTCGGACTCGTCGGGACTTCGGCAATTCCGGATTATCGATTTTTTCGGATTATAGATCATCAGTTTAAATCTGGTAAGATGGCATGCAGAAATTATAAAATTAAAAATATGAAACCGTAATTTATGAAATAAAGAACAATTATGATCTAAAGGGTATCAAAATTTACAAAAAAAAAAAGCTTAATATTTATTTGTTTACTTTATTAAACATTTCTTTCAATGTAAGTTGTTTAAGTTGTTTCGTTTTTTTATGTGATAATACATTCTCTTTAATTCTATAAACAGACGTAATTTCTTGTTCAGTTGCAAAGTTCCACTGTTCAAGTCCTATAATTGCTGTGTCTACCGACTAATTTGTCAATTGGAATTTTTTCGTTTTCAATAACCTCTGTCACTTTCTTCGCTATAGGAAGCGAATTATAATGACGAGGAATTTGATTTAAATCATATCAAAGACAGAGTACATCAAGATGAAATACTACATTTAGTAAGGAATTATAAGCCAAATAAAATAAAAACATCTGCTCTGAAGATAAGGATAGTGCTGACAGATCAACTTCCAATTCATTGCGCGCCGGCTCCGGCGTTAAAGATAATCAAAGTCTAGATAAACAAACGTTAAAGTTTAGATAAACAAAGGATATGCCTTTATCCATTTTTTGCAGCAATTCCACTTTTTGTTTAATGAACTTCGAAATATACTTTCGCTTTGTAGATCCTTTACATATTAATTGATATATATCAGAAATTCTATTTGACATAATCGAAAGTTCAAGCTTACTTTTATAAAATTGCTCTAACAGTCTGCAAAAAATAATAAGCTGGATCCAATTCGAAGATTAAGGAACAATGCATTCTGCAACATTCACCGAAATAGATAGATAATTAGATACTTTTAGCTTAGCTTATACTGTCCGTTATACATTAAACGCGCACTCGTAAACGTATTTTGCGAACGCGCACAAGCATATTCACAGCCGAAAAGTCTTACGCGCATGCGTCAATGTGGCGCATGTGCAGAAAGTTTGTAGCTTTGAGGTCCGGATTATGGGTGTCCGAATTAACGACTTTTGACTGTACGAAGCAATGATAGCACTTTAACCATAAATATGATTACACAAATCTAAAAGCTAATTATTGATCAAACATGGTGTCCTAGTTTCTTACTTAGTTTATAAATGGAGCCATGTTTTGCAGTTTATCACACTCTATGAAACATTTTTGCACTCCATTATAAAAGTAGTATCAAACAAAATTTAGGATGCTAAGAGTTAATAATAAATATTCAAGCTTTTAAAATCTGATCAACAAAAATTATTTTTACAAGCAACATATTCAATTCCCAGTAGCATAAATTTGTATTTTGTTCTGTTCTGCCTGAAAAACAATTAAAAAAAAACCTTAATTTACTTAAGATGTAAGATAAACCAAAGGAAAGTCTACACTTATAAAAAATTTAAACTAAGAAAATGAACGGCAAATTAAGTTTGTATATTACAACAATAATTTTCAACTCATTATTTCTTCATTAACTGCACACATTTAAAGTTTTAAACCATTAGCTCTTAATAAAACGTTACAAATTTATGTGCAGTTATTTTTCTAGCCCACTATGTTGACCAAAAGCACTAAGAAATGCTTTTGGTCAATAAAGCATAAGATATTAAAAATATTATACTCACAGTAACTTTTGTATCTTTTAACTGCTGAGTAGCAAAATTTGCTTGCTCCATATTAAAAGATTGCTGAGACAGATTATCCCTTTGTGACTCATACCTAAGAAGAATTTAAAACATAAGCCAGGCAGTATAATGTTTACGGATAAAGTAACAGCACATGTTAAAATTCAATGTGAGGTGTACACATTTGCAATACACAATGCTAAGAAGAATTTAAAACATAAGCCAGGCAATATAATGTTTACGGATAAAGTAACAGCACATGTTAAAATTCAATGTGAGGTGTACACATTTGCAATACACAATGCAGTACAAAGTCTGAGTACAGACTCTTCAGAACTTTGGCAATTCCAGATGGGAATTTGGTGTATTTTAGATCATCTGTTTAGATCTAGTAAATGACATACAGAAATTATAAAATTAAAAAACCGAAATAGTCGTTTAAGAAATGATGAAGCATTTATATTCTTAAACAAATCAAAATTTATAAATAAAGCTCAACATTAACTTGTTTGCTTTATTAAACATTTCTTTCAGTTCTGTAAGTTGTCTAAGTTGCTTTGTTTTTCGTGCTAATGCTTTCTCTTTAATTTTATAGACAGACATAACTTCTTGTTCAGTTACAAAGTCCTATAATTACCATGTCAAGAATTTCCACTAAATTATCAACAGATATTTTTTCATTTTCAACAATCTCTCTGTCACTTTTTCCACTGTTGGTAGTGAAATTTTCTGAATTTGAAGACAAACTATAAATTTTGTCATCCATTAGTTGACTGATTATTGGGGCTAAAATACTTTTGTTGCTACTTCTACTAATGAAATACTTCTGGTACATCATCTTCATTGATTACCACTTCTCTACATTTCTACACAAATTCCATCAACTGGAAAATTTCACTTCTTCTTCATGATATTCAAAAACCTTCAAAATCATGTCTATCATTGTAATGATTCAAAGTGCCCACTTTACACTATTGGCAATGTATCATTGAGAACGTCTTGCTCTCTATTGTGCACTGAGAAAATTAACCCTGAATTATATTAGATTTATTAAGTCTATTTCCAGCATATGCTTAAGGCTTATACGAGTCACAATGAAATAAATTTCCACATATACTTAAAAGGGTACTTTTCACTTATGCACCTGCAATGCAGAGCTTTTAATTGTAAATGATTTCTAATTATAATAATAGTTTATAGATGGCAAACACACACCTATACTGTGTGACAGATTATGGCCAACAAAACATTACCTACTACATGCCAAAAAGCATGGCAGATACATAACAGAAAAGGGCTTTAGAGTAGACTAAAGGGTACCCCTTGTATTATTGCGAAGTCGTTGTTACATTTATGGTAACCCGAGTAATTGAATGTTCCTAGGATTGGGTGCTCCTTTGACTTTTTAAGTGAAAATATATTGAGGTGTACATGGACAAAGTCAAAGTAGTACACAATGCCAAGTTTGTGCAATTTTCAGTTTTTTTTTTTTTTTTTTTTTTTTTTTTTTTTTTTTTTTTTTTTTTTGAGTGAAAATAGGTCAACAGGTACATGGATGAAGCCAAGGGAATGCGCAATGCCTAGTTCGTGAAATTCTGGTATGTTTTTTTTTAAGTGAAAATAGGTCGATGTATACATGGATACCGAGTTTGTGTAATTCTTTGTCGTCATTTTGTCTTTGTGTAGCGGCGAGGTTTGCAAAATCACCGCTACACAAAGGCAAAAAACAAGTCAAAAAACTGCATAAACTTCGTGCCCATGTACTGCCAAAAATCGCCAATTTTCTCCAAGGTATACCCGTAAATATACTTTTACCCAGAAAAGTACCCTTAACACTTTTCAAAACAAATCTATTTTCATAAATTTCTGTTAAATTTCTCCTCATCAACACATTTAACACTTCACAATATGGGAAGTGTTAAACATGTTGTGCAAGTGTGATGCCAGCACAAAGGTTTTTACCCCGTTTGGTATTCAGTCACTGATATTTAAAATAAAAATCATTTTAGACACTGCTTCATGGTCATTTTCAAGCTGCTGTGAGACAATATTCATGTGGGGATAAAAGCAAATAATAATTTAAAAAAAAAAAAGATTCACCAGGTTGGCTTAAGGGTTATATGATATTCAATAGGTATAAAATTAGCATTAAATTTTGAAAGAATATTCTAATTTGATATGTATAACAAGTAATAAGGGGACTACGAAGCCAAAGTCTTGATCATACAGATTTATGGAAATAAATAATTGTATTTTTTTCTAAAATATAGGAGTTTTATTTAGAGCTGAAGTGAAATCAAGAATCAAGACTCTCCACTTGCTTTATTATGAAAAACTGTCAACTGCGCATACGTGAAGCTAACTCTCAAAATCTTTCTCTCTTTTCATAAAAAAAAAAAAAAGAAAGAAAGAAAGAAAGAAAGAAAAGAAAAAAGAAAGGGAAAATGGGGGAAAAAAATTGCTAGTAGTTAGGAGGTCAGGATGTTATATCATTCTGGATATTGAATACCAGGATTTCAGACTTTATACTGTATATATGCGGGCAGCAAAATTACAGTACTTATGTATTATTCTGTCAAACACAAAAGTAGGCTACAATCGAACCAAGTTGGAAGAGATTTTGACAAAGCTGCATCAATTGATCTGTTTCTTCATTTAATAAACAACCAGTATTCGACTCAGGCAGCAAAATTACAGTACTTATGTATTATTCCATGAAACACAAAAGTAGGCTACGATCGAACCAAGTTGGCTGAGATTTTGCCAAAGTTGCATCGATTGATCTGTTTCTTCATTTAATAAACAGCCAGTATTTGACTCACTTTGTTTCTTACTGCTTCTTATTACTTGTTTTTTGCTTCATAAAAAGGGTTTCATTGAGTTCTACTATTTTTTTAAGCCCTCGAGATTTAACTGGAAGCACTGCTTCAGATGCTATTAGTATCTAATCTATTACTTGTTTTGCTGGCCATATTCAGCTGATAATATTTTGTTCATTAACACTAGAATTACAGAAGGGGTCATTTTGACACCTAGCAAACTTTTATCTCTGACAGCTCTTCTTTTTTTTCGCAAATAACTTAATATTTTCTCGACTTTTCCTAAATCATTGTGATTTACGAAACAGTAAAGATTTCAAGAAAATCATATTTTTATTTTAGCCCTAACAAATGATTATACCTAGAAATACGGCAGGTGTCATTTTGACCCCTTTCAGAGAAAAGAAACGTGAATACATTCCATTGTATTAATTTGAACACTGTTACTTCTGTAAACTATTTTCATTTGCACCTGCTAAACAAAATACAAACAAAAGAAAAGAATATGGTGGGTCTGTGTAGTTTCATATCTGCCAGTCATATGATTTGAAATACTTTTCTTTGAGGAAAGAAAACAAAGAAAAGAGATTATTAGGAGCTGAACGCTTGTAGATTTTTTGTAGATATTTTGTTTATTATTCATAACAAGTTTTAGTGGAAAATTTTATTCCGTTTACATGAATTTATTATAGTGATGTACTAATGGCGCATAGAAAAGGACTAATGCATGAAGAAATCGTGAAACTGATGCAAGAACTATCTGATGCCGATTTCGGTTCTGAAATCGAAAATAATTCTACAAATAAAGATGGAGATGAAACATCTTTGTGATTCTGAATTTATTATAGAGAGTAATCAGGCAATATCATCCTCTAGCTCTACAAATGGATTTGTTTCTACGAGTTCAAATTCTGCCGTACCTAAGAATGCCAAAGCGGAAACTAGTAGACGCTCAAAAGGGAATATGAAATTAAACGTAATTCAGACTAACACTTATAAAGAAATTGCTAGTGATGGAACTGTATGGAAAGTAGAAAATACTTCAAATACTTCTGGTCGGCGACCCTTGCAAAATATCTTGCGAGAAAATGCAGGACCGATATCCTATGCTAAACGTCACATTTGTTCTGGTAAAGCACTTAATGTGTGGAAGTTAATAATAAATGAAACAAGTTTACGCGTCATAAAGGAGTGTACTGATGCTGAAGCTAAGCGCAAACTTCATAATGACTCTTTCACTATTTTATTAGCGGAACTAGAAGCATTCATAGCATTGTTGTACATAAGGGGGGACATTAGCCGCCAAGGGCCTATCAATTCTTAGTTTGTGGTCCAAGACTTAAGGACCAAAGTTTTTTCATGAAACTATGAATAGAGATAGGTTTTTGGAAATTATGAAAATTCTTTGTTTTGACAATAAACTAACAAGGTCTTCACATTTGCAGTGTGATAAATTTGCACTAATATCTGAGGTATGGAATACTTTTATAGAAAATTGTATGCAAATGAAAACATTACGATTGATGAACAGTTATTCCCTACAAAAACAAGATGCTGTTTTTTGCAGTATATGCCTAACAAGCCCGATAAATTCAGAATAAAATTTTGGCTAGCAGTAGATGTTAGGACAAAATACTTATTAAACGGATTTCCATATTTAGGAAAAGATGAAATTAGACCAAGTGATCAAAGTTTAGGAGAGAATGTAGTAAATCGTTTAGTTGATCCTTACAAAAATGCTGGCCGAAATATAACTACAGACAGTTTCTTTACATCAGTAAAACTTGCGAAATCCCTAAAATCAAAAGGATTGGGTCATGTTGGAACAGTAAATCACGCAAAAAGAGAAATTCGCCTCTAGTTTTCAAAAATGTAAGAAACGAACTTTTTTTCTTAAGTTGTGATGAAATACGACTATATAACACTTCTATATCAAGGTAAAACGAACGAAAAACGTAATTTTGTGAAGTACACTCCATTCATCAGTTGAATTTGAATCTAATGAAAAGAAGGTTCCAGATGTAATATAGTTTCACAATTCTACAAAATTCAGGGTAGATGGTTTTAGATCAAATGGGAAGAAAGTACTCCGTGAAAGCAACATCCCGAAGTTGGCCAATACATGTATTCTACAATATTTTGGACTTAGCAGGCATAAATGTGTGGATTCTGTAAGTTGAAGTTTGGCAAAAGAAAATATCAGCAGAAGGGAATTTTCTATTGCGTTTGGCAGAATTTGTTTTCTCTAAGACAAGAATATATACCTAGTAAAAACAAATTTGTTCTCTCTTCAAGTG